GAGGCTGTAATTAACCTAGGAGTCTGTCCTTCACAAGTAGCTCTACAAATATCCTGAAAAACATTATTCTTGAAAAATAATTTTTTTTCAATTTTTTTTAGGCACAGCAATTTTTTTTTTTTCATGCCTACCCCTAGAAAGACTAACCCGGGCCTGCGAGGCCCGTATTGAGAATATATGGTAATTTGATGGCTACAATGCTTTTTTTCTCTATTTTCGGATGAATTTTATGATTTTCATACTTTGACTTCTATAACCAAGGTCCCAATTTTTTTTTCACCCATTGGCTGCCCCCCCCCCAGCCCCCTACACATCCCTCTCCTCTCCCCGGTCCCTTCAGATCTAGGAGTCTTTCATTTTGAACACATTTTTATATCTTTTTTCAGAATTTGAGGACGTTAAATTGAAGGAGCGTTATTACCCCTATAAGTATACTTGAATTTGAGAAGGAGGGGGCAACCTTGCCCACCCTCCCCCCTTCCCCTCCTTCCGGTAGCCAAAAAAATATGTACTTTCCGATGTGTTTCTTTCAAAGTTTTGCACTTAGAAGGTTTATTTTTTCATTTCGTGAATAGAAAACAAAAGTCTAAAATGTATTACTGTACTATTACTACAAATAAGTCGCTCTCGTGGCGCTCCTGTGCGCTCTGCGACACCCAACCGCCACTGACAGCGATCTTACCAGAGCACCTTTGCTGTAATAGTTGTAGCTGAGAAGTCGTCATGGAGGTAATATACTGTCTAAGAAGTGTAAAAGCACCATGCGTTATTTTCTTACAACTAAAAGGTAATGCCTTAACATATTCACCGTATTACAAGAATCACCTAAAATATTAAATAATAATAAGTAAATAATAAGTCTGATTTTCTTGATCTTCAGTAATTTTTTTTATGTTTTGTTTTTCCTTAAATCTTTCCTACTTAAGTATATTGTCCGTCGTCTTAATTACTACTGGAATCATTAGGTATTCATTATCTACTTTTAATTTTTACCGATCTAAGAGTTTTTACGAGTTAAATTTAGGTGTTGCTTGTGATATGGTGAATATGTAAAGGCGTTATCTTTTAGTTTTAAGAAAATAACGCATGGTGCTTTTACAGTTCTTAGGCAGTATATTTCCTCCATGACGACTTCTCAGCTACAACTATTACAGCAAAACCTCAGGAAAACCATTAGAAACTTCACAAGAAATTTTGTCCCGCGTTTATCTCATAATTCACTGTGAGTAAATTTGCTCTCACTTGTCGAAAAGTTGGAAATAATATAGAAGTATTCCATAAATAACAACAATACATAACGCCTATGAACGCCAACGTAGAGGACGCCCTGTCAAATCATGGATTGAGGGAATAAGGCTTGAAATGAGGAGATGCGCTCTGCCGGGGGTGCTCTGGCAAGATCGCTGTCAGTGGCGGTTGGGTGTCGCAGAGCGCACAGGAGCGCCACGTGAGCGACTTATTAGTAGTAATAGTACAGTAATACATTTTAGACTTTTGTTTTCTATTCACGAAATGAAAAAATAAACCTTCTAAGTGCAAAACTTTGAAAGAAACACATCGGAAAGTACTTATTTTTTTGGCTACCGGAAGGAGGGGAAGGGGGGAGGGTGGGCAAGGTTGCCCCCTCCTTCTCAAATTCAAGTATACTTATAGGGGTAATAACGCTCCTTCAATTTAACGTCCTCAAATTCTGAAAAAAGATATAAAAATGTGTTCAAAATGAAAGACTCCTAGATCTGAAGGGACCGGGGAGAGGAGAGGGATGTGTAGGGGGCTGGGGGGGGGGG